TTTGAGAGTGTTGTAGTTGCTATGTTGAATGTGGTAGTTGCTTGAGTGGTTTCCTTTACTGTACTGACAAAGGTTTCTGTTGTTTCACTTGGAAAGGTTGAAGCCACCGGAGCTGTAGGTTCAGTTGTTCCAGTTTGACTTTGTTGGGTTCCACCAAATGTTGCATTCTCTACGGTTGTTGCACTGTCCCCTATCAATATGGTGGTAGCCTGCAAGTCTGTGGTTTGCACGGATAAACTGGCCGCTGATCCTGATGATGTCGTCACGGTGTTTATGTTGGAGATCGTGGTTTGAGCTGATGGAGTGGCATTAGTTATGCTTGCCGATGACAGTGCGACCGAGGTCTGAATGGCTGTGGCTAGTTCCTCAGTTGTACTTTCCAAAGTTTTTGTCCTTGTAGCGGTGGTGATGCTCATAACTGAAGGTGTAATTTTAGTTGTGTTCTCTGTCGATGTGGTGGTTTCCATAAAGACTAACGTGGTATCCTGAACAATCGTGGTTTCCTCGGTTGTGATGTCGACAGTTTCTGTTGTCTCAGAAGCCGATGTGGTCTCATATTTGGAAGTGGTGACATCATTTAGAGGGGTTTGAATTGGGATGGTTGCACCGGACGTCGTGAGACTTTCTGCCGATGAGGAAGCGGCTTGGCTGGTCAGAATAGTGGTTGCCGGGCCCGCTGTGAATGCCTGCGTTGTTTCACCTGATAGTGATGTCTGGGACATGGTTGCAACCACGGTCGATCGGCCTGTGCTTTTCATCCATGCTGAAGTAGTCTCGGCCAATGAAGAAGTCGCCTCTGCGGCACTGGTTGATTTTGATGTTTGAGCCGTGTCTGTTGTCACTTCATCGGCGATTGTGGTCTCTTCCTTTTCCGTGGCAATATTTGTTGTGCTGGTCACGTCTGGAAACTGGTTTCCAGTCGTCAAGACGTCTGTGGTGGTTGAAACTGTTGTGAAGGTTGACTTCTCTAATACGGCTTTTTGAAAATTTTAAATTGAAATGAAATGAAAGGTTATTCCTGTTAGTCTAGTAGCAGACAAAGAAATCTCAAATAAGTTGTGATTTGATGTAGAAACTATTGTGGCTTGGTGTTCCCCCAAATACTCACCGACTATATTAGTGCCAGAAATATCATCTATACATGAGTTCAAGAGTTCAATGTATTGAGGCCAATGCAGGTTCGGTATACGCTTGCTGTTCAACATATTTACACGTACACAGTGGTTGAGAAATGTATTTATGTCAGACTTCTTCCATGTCTCCTTTTGTTTAACATTTAAGGTTATTTAGTTCCTGACTATTTGGCCGACTTTTAAGAGCTTGAGCTCCTGAGCGGTCTGAATGGAACTCAAAGCAGCCAGACACACACAAACAGAATGTTAAAGATCAAAGGTAGGAGAGCTAAAGTCACAAATCTTTTTGGAAAACTCCTAGAGAACCAGCATATGTGACAAATTTTAGGTTACCCTTTAGGCATGAATAAAATCAAATTACTTGACCATAATGGTCATAAAAATGAAACAAAATATTTGAGAGAGATTATGGAAACATTGATAAAGATTTCCTCTTTTGAAAAACATTACATTCTGCAAGTGATTATTGTTTTTAGATAAAAATGAAACTTTTCTCTTCAGTCGTAGAGACTTCAGTGATGGTTGAGACATCCACCGGGAATTAATGCTAATATTGGAAAAAGTATCTGTGTATGATTTCGAAAACTACATTTATTTAGGCCAGCACAGAATCGGTAGACTTGCATGTCAGCTGTTATGTCCACAATTATTCAAGAGAATGTATTTCCTGTCAAACTCCTCCAAATACCACACACGATTTTGCCAGGAATCTGTCAAAGTCCCCATTACAGGTGAATTTTCTTCTTCAATTAACTCAGGAAACGTGGTACTTACTTTGACAGAAGACCAGGCTGCTCAAGATAGGCATAAGAAGCCCAGTTAGAAGTAACTTTCTAGCGAACATTCTTGTTTTCAGCGCTAGGGTACAGTACATCTAGTTCCTGTCTCGTACTCCAATCATGTGTCAGCCGGTGTCCAGTAAAAAGAACCAAGAGTTCCTCGTTACCATGAACTTTACCATGGTATGTAGAGACAGCACTGCTGTTTCGTTACAGGGGTTCAGTTTGTTTCTCTGTATAATTTGGTATCATTTCACCACGTGACCGGAGTAATCTTTATTTTCACCTTTGAACTTTGACAATGACTGCGTGGGAAGAGCGTGTTCAGCGCAGAACTGGTTTCAGAGAGATCTTAATAATTCATTAATAATTAATAATTCATTTAATGTATATTATGCTCATGCTCACGACTGCATTACAATAATAGAAATCGTATACATTTAAATGACAGAAAAATCTCCATAAAACTGCGTTAAAACCCAAATTAAAACTCTAAACTACGTTACAACAATTCCGAATTGAAAAAAATCTTCATGTAAAGTGGTGGTATATGTCTTTCCCCTGATGAGTGTAACATTCAAACAAAACTTCCATCCTCACTCCTAACCGCAATCATATGACCAGAGTGAAACCAGAAAATATTTTGAATCAATGCAGTGATTTAGAGAAGGAGGTTGAGCCAAGTACAAAATAACCCGGATGCAATAAACTGGGACAGGTTCATTTAATTTTAACCTATAATGTTGTCATCACACAAAAGATATTCGTTTGCGAATAAATTGTCACATTAGCCAATTCCAATGTCAAGTCATTACCGGCACATGTCCTTTTCTTGTTTAGTCAATATAGAACAATTTGTTGCATTTTACCAAGACATTGACCGTCTGTGTGATTGCGCTTTCTAAAGTTGAGATTGGGGCTCAAAGGCAAGCCCTGTGACTCAGATGTAGTTAGACCATCTTGCCTCGGGGCCTGAAGATCTCAGAATAAAAAAAAATTACTCACGCCGCATGGATTACACTAACAGGAGCATTATATTTCACATTCGCCAATAATGTGCACTCATATCTACAGGATGGAGTTTATTGAGGGGAAGTGTTCGCTTTGATACCAAGTTTTCAAAACTGCGTTTAAATTAAGGAAAACAAAGAACCTTTATACAAACGATAAATGTGTTCCGTTGAATCAATGGAGTCGGCTGTAGTGTAAACCTTGCTGCTTGCGTGTGCTTTTATTTCAAATGGTTTGTTTATTCAAACTGAGTGGGTTATACTGTCGAATGTGTACTGAGGCGCGCTATCGTTTGTGCTAATTACGCATGTTAGAAATAATTTACAAAATAAGGTCGCAAATAATGTGCAGAATTAACCTTGTTTAGTTTCGATTGCTTGGTTGACTAACAGGTTTCCTGGTTTTGACCTATACAATGTCGAAATCGATATAATATAGAAAAATGATGCAAAAGTCCATCTAGTGATACTAATATTCTGTGTAGAGTTTACGTGACAAGGAAGTGGGCCATGAAAAATGTCTTTCATCTCATCATTACAAATGAAATGGTACCACTCGAACTATTAAGAAATTAACAGGCAAGCAGTCTGAAAAACAAGGAAATATCGGATGAAATAATGATCGTGAAAACTTTTCTATACGGGCACAAATAAAACCTTAGCAGAAGGGGCAACAGCGGACCACCGATACATGCGTTTTCTTTATGTAGTATTTCCACTAGATTTAAATATTCGGAATATGTTCACACATATTTTCCTATGTACATGCATTCATTTACAGTCATTTGCAAAAGTTTAAGACCACCTGTAAGTTTGTTGTTATTTCTGTCACTGGGTCTGAATTATATTGTTTCATTTAATGATTACATAAGATTTTTTTACAGTGGTGCATAACATCAGTGTAATGCTATATACCCACTTGAATTAATTTTTTGCAATGGCAGGTCTTCTAAATATTAGACTGTTAATATTTCAAATCATGGAAATGTAGTCAAATAACTGTTCAACCAAGGCACTAATATTAGACATTGAAATTAAACTTAAGTAGCCATGATTGATTGGTTTAAGTTTGCTTTTTTCCATCAGATTTATGCATTTTGTATGGGTGGTCCTAAAGTTTTGTAAATGACTGTACTTATTCGCGTACATTTACTACTTATGAAAATTCCTTAGAGTTACAGTATTATGTAATATTGGAAATCGCGACAGTGTTAAGGCCATGTACAGTTTAAAACATCATGTAATAGTTACTCTTCCTTAATTTAAATTTGACAGTGGACAAATTATAGACACTGATGACGTCACACTTTTTCTTCGCTTATTTTTACCCCTCCTTGGAGCTTTTAATCCGTTGTTTCCATTTGGCTCTCAATAAGAAAGCACACAGGAGAACAGGTATGACGTCATCACCGCACAGGCCCTCAGGAAAAGCCTATATTTCTCAGAATTCCTCTAAATGCGCGACTGCTGTTGAAAAGAACGGGTGAGTGGTGACTCGGAACTATATCATCTTTTGCATTTTTCTAAGTAAACGTAATATACCTTATTCACGGGGAAGCGATTTTAAAAATCTTATTCCCTGTATCTATCATATTCAGTGTAATCTTTAATTGAAGTGGTGGATTGCTATGTTGGGCTTCCAACTTTTTAAAAAATGAAAGCCTCGCTCTCGTTGCTTGAAATGGGGTTTATATACCATTTAAGGTAAATTTTATCACTCATTTTAAATCATTCAAAACAGAAACCCTGGCATGAATTTGTTTTGTACTTTTATTTTGTGGCTGTTACACCTCACTTTCAAATTCAAGATGGCTGACACATGAATGCATTCTTTTCGGATCCACCACATTTGTGGAACCATACCCCTTCAAAGGCGGGAGTATCGGACATTGTTTCCCAGTGTGGACAAATGAGGGCGCCTTCTCACGGTATCCCACGAAATGACGTGGGGGGGCACGACGCAGCAGGAGTACGTGCTCCCTACGTACGCACCCACTTGTTTCAGTTTCTCACAGCCTACGCACGTGCCATAGTTTAGTTGCTGTCAGTTGTCCTTGAAACAAAGTGTGCACCCTGTATCTCCCTTTCCCCACAAGTTCTGTCTGAGCTACGTCACTGTCCAGTGTTGGAACACCTGCACCTCATTCGTTTAACAGAAGAACTATTTTGAATTGTTTACCGTGAGTTAGTCATTCGAATGCTGCTTGACAGTACGACTCAATTATAATGAATACTCAAATATGTTTAAAGTACATTTGATTTTAAATCTATTCAAACTTTTCACAGAGGCTGAATTTTGCTGCATATGTATCGTTCACGTGTAATTGTCTAGCAATATGAATAATGATAATAAAATGAATACTTTCAATGATATCGGGATATGTCAGGAAATTAATATTTAAGAATCATATTTTAAATGTGAGCCCTAAAATGTTGTCCTGAAAGGTGTTTAATATTGTGGAGTTGTGCGAAAGTACCTCTTAAAAAGTCAATAAGAATATGAGAGATATTAATGAGTCCGGAGTACAGACGTGATTAAAAAAACTTAAATATTATTGTTTCTTTATGTATATGTAATTGGACAGAGGGAAATGTTCTAATTGATTTGACATCATTGGATGTGTCCTTCTAAAGTCTAGCGTCTCTTCCAGACACTGCATCGTCACAGGGTCGAAATCGTAATGAAACTTGTTTGCAAAGAGATTGGGGACCCGTATGAGGTACTGGAGGTAGTCTACACCAAATATGCACACGACTCGGACGTCCTTCCCAAAACGGCACTTTGGGGTGTTACGGTGGCTCGTCCATTTTACGAACCGAAACCTGTAGCCAGAGTTGGCGATGTTGTCGGGAAATCCACCGGGAACGCCCGGCAGCCTTTGCAGGGTCGCCCAATAGACTTCATCGGGGCTGTAGGTGTCGCGTGTCCACTCCAGCAGATCAATGGCTCGCTGGTCGGTCAGCACAAACTCGATGAACCGTCGCGTTGCCGCAAAGTAGGCGTTACCGTTGTGCAGCTTCACGCCGTGGGGAGGGGGGCGCTTGCGAATTCGAGTGAGCTCAACCTTACCATTTCTAACAGCGTGGTGAAAAAACGTCCAGTATTTTTTATATGCTGTCTGGGGATAGCTTACGATATCATTGGTGCCGTTATAAAATCGCAATTGGCGCACAATTTCGAGATTTGTTTTAAGAGGGAAATCTTGACCACACAAGTTAATCAGGTACCTCCAAGCGCGAACCTGAGTCCGAGAGCCCGTTAAATCTTGCATACAGTTGATATCGGCGAGGAGTCGCGTGAACCCAGCGTACTGAACATCCTCGAGCTTTGACGCGATAAAAACGTTATCAAAGCAATGGGCGAGGCCGCGAATCGCACCCTGAAAATCTTCCGATGATCCGGCGTCCGGATGAATGCAGTAGACGTTCTGTGGTTGGTAAATTTCCCGCAGCAACCTCTCGACTTGAGCCGAGGTGATGTGAGTGATGATCGTGTATGCAAGAGGAAAGCTGGCCTCCTCCTCTGACGAGGGACGTAACGGGTATCCCCTTTCCCTTCGGAATGTATCACAGTCACGCGTCCAGTTCCGTACTTCTGCGTCTGTCGGGACAGGGAGAGACCCGTTATTCTGTTCCCTCTCCCCGGCGATGAACCTCGCTGTTTCTTCGATCTCAGCATCGTCGCCGGCAAATAGAGCGGAGCAGTTGACATCCCAGTGCCGGTGATACATGACACGTGAATGGCTCATCTCTGCTACTTGGCTCTCTCCGTTCGATGTAGACATTTCTCTGTGCCTAGCCGTCCATCGCCATACGTCACTCGTGGTCTGGCCCTGCAAGATCTGTAGCATGACGACCGTGACGCAGGAAGCAACCAGGACACCAAACAAGATAATCCTCGATCTAAAACGCTTACATATCAAGCGGTTTGGGAAATCCATGATGTGTGGCACGGAAACGACCCTTCTCTGTCGCGTTAGAATCTGTAGCTATCTTGTTTTAAAAGGCTATGTCACTGGCTTCGATTTGCTTTCATTCTGTGTATTACGATTTACACAAGGTATTTTCGTTGCAAAAACAATCATTTGTGAAATGCAAAGTCAAACACAGTATCAGCACACGTCACATCTGTTGCAGTTAGTGACAAATCAAACAGTTCCGTAAAACTGGCGTTTTTAACGTACTTTTTAAATAGCAAAGTCTGTGGCACAAATTTTGTTTTTAATTAATACCTAAAACTAGCCGGGGACAAAAATTGATTGAGCCTAACTATTGCCATCACAATCATGATACCCCGCTATGAAATGCGGTAAGTTTGTCAGTTGGAATATGGGTCAGACAATACGACCATGGTATGTTTTTTTCTCCAAGGAGAGAAAAAAGAGCATATAACAAGTTGCGATAGGGTCAGATCAAAGCGGTAGAGAGTTGTGATAATTTCACAACAGAAGCCATTTTGGTTTTTAACTTTCCAACATGAATCTTTCATGTCATCTTTGTCATCTTCCAACCTACTAACAACAACCCACCATCCTGGGAATGTTTTAAATTAAACACCGATCTCCTATATCACAACTCTTTCTAATAAGCAATGCTGCTTTGGGCTTCAAGTTTCTGGACTCCAAACAAAAAAAACCTATACAACGCGACACAAACGCAGAACCAACAATGTGGTGTACACATTGCATTTCGAACGGGCTTTTTTAAATATTTTATTATATTATTTATTTTATTATATTATTTTATTTTATTATATTATATTATTATATTAAGATTTTTAATAACATTCGGCACAGGCTGCCGTGCCATGCAGAGTCGTACCGAACAAAGTAGAATTGAGAGCGACCTGAGTAGATCCAAATAATATGAAGAGCGACTTGAACTGAACTGATTCAAATAGATTTTGTTTTGTAGACAGACGTACATAATTGCAGCAGCGTGAAGAGCAAAATCAACACGCACAACTCATTCCTTGCATCGTCATTTCTCCACACAGTGTTGTTGAACATGATGGATATGAAGGCCGGCTATCAAGTACTGGGCCACAGCGAACCAGCAGGTGAAATTTGGATCAATTTTGTAAACATATTTACTGACAATTATAAACGTGAAAGTTGGTCAACAAAACTAGGGCAGTTTTAATTAAGAAAACTATACTTCCTTCATGGATACTTTTTGCAATCATAATTTATACACAAGAAATAGATTTGAACAATAGCGAGTTAGACCAAGCCATACTGATGAAACAATACATATGTAGGCCTAGCATTGACATTTGAATTGGACGGAAATCATTTCAAAGACAACACTTTCCATAAGAGGTTCTCTCCCTTTAAACAAACACGAAAATGAAAATACAGAAATGATTAACCATTGATTTATCGGAGCTATAATTTGGACAAACGATCGTTATGATGATGAAAGAATTTGATGACGAGAAGCAATTCGATATTAAATTGAGCCTTGTCCATGCGCAGTGAAATAACACGATGGAGGTAACTACACTTTCAGTTATAAGTGAAGGGATAAGATCAACCGTATTAATAATTATACGAGTAGAACCTTTCTTTGCAAATGCTCCTGAATTTTGTCATGGTAACGTCAAACTTCACGTTCAGTTGTTTGTATTCCACCAGAAGGTACAGAACGAAAACCTATTTCTCCATAGCAATGTTTTTTTCACATAAAAAAAATACAAATTCAAATACATATGTATATATAGTTTCACTAGAAAGTAATAATGCTCAATGCCGATTTCTAGATAGCTTGAATCTGGAGTTCTTATTAGTTTCCTTAGTAATATTGGCAATAAACTCAGTCTGTGAGTGGTGCCGTCGTCATCATAAAAGGGAATATATCGTTACATACTAAATTTCCTGCTTTTCATATACGCTCCTGTCTTAGCTAAGCTCTATTGAAGAAATGTTTTTGCAGACCATGGGTTTTCAAATTCGAATGTTCTTTTCAAGTGAATATACAGGAATGAGCAATGCGACGATCGAAAACCTAAATTAATCCCCTTCTGGCGCAAATGCAATGGTAACACACTCATCGGTCTTGGCGTTGATATCTCCCTGTAGGGCGGGCGCGTGGGCGCGTATGCTCCGGACATCTCAAATTCTGTGTCAACAAAAAAAGCTTCTCGCTACCCTGGTTACCGGAAAGCTGTTTCTTCGCTTAAAATTGTGTGGTGAATCAACCGCTCTTCAGTCTGCGAGCGATCTGTGACAACATTACGGCTATGTTGACAGTGTGCGAAAGGTTTCTTTGACAAATGCTCTCAATGAAAAAGTGAATAATGATTAATCTAGGAAGCCGAGCCAGACTTGTTTTCAACAAGAGGATATTACCCACGTGCGTTTCCCTGAACTGATCAATCACAAAATGAGTATGGAAAATACACAATGTTGTTATAGTAACTACTGTCGACATCCCACTTTGCAATTGGTCGACGGTGATTTTTGTTATTACCTGGAGCAACTTCGAGTCTGCCGAGTGAGTCACACAATGTCATGTAGCTCATTTGAGAAACTTGTGTACATCGGTACATCCATCTTAATCCCTCTTCAGATCGAGCGGTTTATGACTTCATGGACGTCTGTCTGTCTGTCTGTCTGTCTGTCAAACTCTTAAACATTTTGATGTGTTGGCCTTGTGGATGAAACGCATGCTGAATCAAGGCAGGTCGATGCCGTTAAGTCTGCCAAAAAATACATCGCTTCAGGCAATTACACTTTATTAAAACATTTCTATGACTTGTAATCTGAGCAATGCCATGGAGAGCACTGCCTTTTCAAACTTCACCGACCAAGATGACGGTGTCCAGGCGGTTGAGGGTTCAGTTAGCACCGGCAGATTTGTCATCCGTCTTCTAGTCCGCACATTGAGCTTCTTATTTGGTGTTCCCGGAAACTGCCTCGTCCTCCGTGTCTACTGGGCCAAGACCCGTAAGACCAGCACCCATGTCCTGATCATGGCCTTGGCCTGCGCTGACCTCTCAGTGTGCCTTCTGGAGATCCACAACATCGTGCGGGACGTCTTATCCTTCTCTGGCGAGGAGGCTAACCTTGTCTTCGATCTTATCCTGCCTTTTCAGTACGCATTCATAGCAACTTCAGCAGTTATCACCGGAGTCATTGCAGCGGACCGCTACGACTGCGTCTGTCGGCCACAGCGGAGGTTTTTCAACCATAGAAGGGCAAAGGTGGCTGCCCTGACAGCTTTTTTATTTTCAGTTGTCATCAGTGTCCCGAAATTTATGAATGCATTACCCCAATTACCTAGCTCGACTTTTTTTGAAATACTGCCGTATGCTGTTCAATTAGTGTCTTTCGTGACGCTTTGCATCACGATTGTGGTTTGCTACGGAAAGGTTTACGCGACCATTCGTAGACATGTTAGAGTGGGTGCCCTGCTCAGACCCACAACAGGCGAAGAGCTTTTTGTCGTGCGACCGATGCCAGTTGTTCAAGACATTTCTGCTGTCGACAACATTTTTACTTCAGCTGTCGATCAGGCGCACTCCAGCTCCAATACACGCCGCACTGTTTCCATCAAGACCACTCTGAGATGTACAAGAGAAGTAAGGTCACGCCACCTACAGCCAGATGTCCGCCAATCAGTAGGCCTATCTCGTGAGACGCGCACAGCTCAGCAAACGAGATGTAAACATTTCTCAGTGATGCAAGGTCCACCTCCCGTGGATGAGAGCAGAGATCGAGGCATGGAAGAACTTCAACAGGCGGGAAACGCCCCTAAAAGGCTCGGCGCTGCTGTACTTCAACGTAAGACAACCAAGATGCTCTTTCTCACCAGTGTTGTTTTCTTAGCGCTGTGGTTGCCATATTGGATTTATGTTGCTGTAGAATTCGCCTTTTATGGAGGTGCACCTGTCGCAACCACAGTTCGAAAAGCTCTGCTTGACATTCAACTTGTGCTTTTCATGAACCACGCCATCAACCCAATTCTTTACGGAGCCGCCAATAGACGGTTCAGAAAGGACTGTAGGGGAGCCTTCCTTGGCAAAATGAAACTTTGCTAATCGTTGCAGTCGTAAAGACTTCTGCTAGGAACTTCTAATTCGGTGTCATCGGAGTGGAATCATCACGTTCCTCTTCTTTAAAACACGGGCTGTAGAGTTACATTTCACACATGAAAGGTTTGTGCAACATTATCTTCTGTTCATGGGACTGGAGCTCGACCAAGAGAGGGTGCTATTTTCTCAGCAACGGAGGCTCCTTTGGTCGGAACTGAACTTACATTACATAATCTGTGTTTTACCTACAGCTGTCATCATGTGAAAATACTGTACAGTTACAAAAGACTTGACTCCAACTTTCATCAGACCCAAGAAATGATAAATGCCACTGAGGAGTCCAGGACAATTGGCGAAAGTTGCTTGGCAGTCGCTTGCTAGATAACAGCTCTCTCTAGGAGGTGTTAAATGAACAGCGAAGAAATTTAGTGCCCGTTCACTGACCTGAGATGGAGTAGGATGGAGGGGGTTGTCAAACGCCACAGCGCAACCTTTTGCATGTGCATGCCATGGTTTCTATATCTAACTATTTAGATACTCCTTGCAATAAAACATTCGGACGACCCTTTGCGTAAAACAATCGCAAAAGCTGTATACGAAGGGCAGACCAGATGAGCTTTGCAACACTGAGCCTTATGCCTAAAAGATATATTAGATAATTTTGAGCGCATTAAAAAAACGCGTTACTCATAACTCATGACTTAAAATTAAGTGCAGCAATATCAACAGTTTGTATCTGTCCGGTCCTCGATGAATGAGGAACATAACTCCCTTTTTCATAGCGTTTTTTGAGGTTCATTCCTATCTAATGTCTGATTGGACACAAATATGAACACTGCAGCAGCTTAGATAACAGCCCGTTTGGTTACACCGGGAGCGGATCCCAACCCCCCCCCCCCCCAAAAAAGAGTTCAGATGCTGAATGATGTTATGAGACTATAGTGAAATGGTTAACTAATCAATGAAATTCTTATGTCTCTACATTTATTCTCAAATTGTCTTCGAATGCCGGAGTACACTTCCGAGAGATTTATGCACCCGGACCCCCCTCCACAGAGTCATCACTCGGTCTCACCCCTGGTTTCCTGTAACAACCCCCCCCCCCGTTTTACTATGCTTATTTGCCGCTGATTTTGCGTATTCTATTTTCCACTCACAGTAAGACATGCGCTGGCTGACCGCTGCATCGACCGTCGGGCCTCAAATTTAACGCGCACACACTGTCAAACCTGCAATGCGATATCAGCTCTGATATTTTATGTAATTTAAACCACCAGATATGTATCAAAATATACATATATTATTTCAAGTAAAGATATTATATTTCAAGTAATTCATTAATATGAGAATTTTTTTCATTTGTAATAGTCCAGTCGCCGCGGGTGGACTTTTCTTTGTGCCTGTTGTGATTGTTGCTGATTTTTTTCGCAATTTTTGGTTGAACATGTTCGTTTTTGGATTGTGAAATGCAAGTTCAAATAAAAACTTCAGGATTGATGTCGGCAAAATTGCTACTGCCTCATCAAGAACAATGTCTTACAGAAAGGTTTGAGACGTCGGAGACGGGACTTTACAACCCCATTATTTCTAAATCGAAGATAATACTTCATTTGACTTTGGGAAACCTTTCAAATTTATTTTGCTACTCTACAAATAGCTTTGGCCGGCACAGTGATTGCTGTGCAATTGCGCCCTCTATTGTTAAATACTGACTCAATTTTCAATTTACATACAAACCCTGCATTCCATCAAATCATTGGATTTCTGCGCTCGAGCTCATTAATATTTTGTAATTCCGCAAGAGTTTTTACAAAAAGACATGCCATAATCAGGATGGATCATAGAGATATTTCTATAAATCACGAATTTGGGACTGCCAGTTTCCAATTGGTGGTATTTCTTTCACAAAAAGCCCCAATCTGTGGGCCTATTTTGGACATGTTGGATAGAAGCGGGAGGCTACATTGCTCTCACTGAGTCAACGTGTACCTTGGGCTACTCGTACCTCGAGTTAAGACCACTCGTATTCCTCCATGTTATCAATTCGGTTGTAACTTTCTTTCTCTTCCTTTGTTTGTTTAACATCAGATTTGACAAACATATCAAGGAAAAATCTTCATAAATCTCCCGGAGAGATCTCGAGCGTCAGCATGATTTTCTGCATCGTGCCTGCCGCGGGCCTTTGCGTCGTCAGTTTACGTGACGGATGTTGAATAACCCCACCATTCAACTCGACTTCCTTAAATGGGGGGGGGACTTTACGAGACTTTACACTTTAAACTACGGAACTTCTTTGGGGGGGGGGCTTCAATGTATTCTTTTGGCTCTGGAAAAAGGTTATTGGACTTTTCAATTTTGTCTGGGAATGATGCCTCTGTTTAGTAACGTTTTTACTTTTGTACTTAATAAAAAATTTTTATGTCCTGATTTCTGTTGGAAATGTTTCTGGTCCCGTTTTTTAATTTTGTTTTTTTCGGGGGGTGTTTGCCTTTTTTAAATTTTTATATCTGACATTACTTTCTAAACTTTGAAGTAAATGAAAACATGATATCACTCCATGATCACATGACGGCTGACTACACAGTGGAGATTCCGAATCGCATGCGACGACAGCATTGAGAGCTGGGCGCATAGTTTTACTACTATTTTGGGGGTATCTTTGGGGAAAGGCGAATATAGAAAAAAAATCGCGTGGCTAACCCCGATAAAATTGAAACGAAATTAGAAATTTTCATATTCTTGAATTGAAGTGAAAAAGAAGTCAACCACTTCCAGAAAGTCAACAGATGGCGCTATTTCAGCCCGATACGAGGTTGGATAACCGCAGACGCGACGCGTCGTGGTGACACACGAACACGGTAGGTACAAGTCACATTTTGATGATATGACTCTTAATATGAGACTTTATTTCAGCCTTGAAGCAAAAAGCAAGACACTGGAACAAGTTTACATATATAAGCTTTTCACATATAAGAGATTGGAGGAGTTGAAGTTTTTGGCAAAGAGATGGGTTGCATTGCAGTTGCTAACTACCTAACTGAGGACATATCTAGGTCAGGGGATTTCCCCGAACGTGCAATAAGTACGGACGGACCCTTCATACGGACGCCGCTTGACAACCTGTGCACAAACCCTATGGGACTGAAAATTCTAATTTTTCTAAGTAAACGGTTTGGTTTTTCCCTCCTAAATTGAATTTTTCTGGACATGTTTTTGCTTTCTGATGCCTAGTCACAGTACATCATGCTGCAGCCTGCGTCCGTATACCGTATAGTATAGGCCGTAGCCCCACAAATGGGGCAGCACGGACATCTGGGATTCTCACAAAATGACAGGTACTGCGGCAGTGAAAACAGCGCCCTTGGTGACATACTCATAGCACCAGCCAGTCTGAAGATCAGGTACAATCTTTTCTTTGATCTGTACGTACACATGCGCTCATTGCAGTTGTCTTCATTGGCGCGGTGTGGTTGCTACCCGTATTTTTGTGAAACTCCCAGATGTCCGTGCTGCCCCATAGGGCTGTAGTGCTGTCTTTTACATTCTGCTCTTGTTTTTCAAAATGGCGCCGCCCGTGGTCAGCATGTAATACTACAGGCCGGGTTTTTCAAGGCGCCATACATTTGAAAATTTACGATTTTGGAAAGCTTTAGGGTGCTCGTATGAAAGTCCAAACTCTGACAAATACGCCGTTGTAAGTAAAATTGTCGAGTCATTCTCATTTCAGAAGATATTAGGATTCAAAGTTTGTGACAATCCTGCAGTTTGGATTTCAGGTGTTTAAGACATGCCTTGAAGTAGGGCTGTGGTGGCGACAGATAAGAGACAGATTGTAAAATAGAGCCACTACAGCCGTATTTGTGGGGCTATATAGGCCTATGCATGGAGGGAGGAATATGGAACTCTCCCCCCTCGTAGGGTTTGTGCTTAAGATGTCAAGTGATATCCACGTATGGATCTCTTTTCAAGGTTTATAAAGGAGTGTGCTGGCCCATGGCTGGCCCACCTTATTGGTGTTACTGACACTTAAAAATAAGTCAGATGATGGTCTGATCTTGGGACTAGGCATCATGTAATGTTACCCCCAGAACTGTGGAGTTTGTCATCCACGTTCATTGGATTACGACAGACGACAAACCCCGCAATTCTGGGGGTAATGTAAGGTGGAATTCTTTCCAGTGGGATGGCCAGTAAGCTGATGCCATAAGTTGGGAAGGTACATTGGTTACATCACTAATACTGGCTATTGTTATATCTGTATCATTTCAGAATTACTTACAGCAGTACAAGTTTTTTTATCATCCATCTTACAACTTCTTGCCATTGATAAACATTTCTGCCTGTTGTCGAAGCAATCATTTTACTGATCCTTTCAGAGAGCTTTCCAGCTGTAAATTGGTAGATGGAAGTCATTTACATGCAGGGGAAGACAAACTCAGCCCTGTTATTGCCACTGGAAATCAAGGATGGAGGGAAAGACTTCTACCAAAGATGCTGTTGTGCATGATGATACCCATCCTTGTTCAGCGGAGGAACCCAGAGACCCAACTCGGCCACGCAGTTCTGCTCACCAGGCTTGTACCAATAACAACATCTCTTCCATTAAGGTCGAGCCATCGGATATCGCCCAGCTATCGCCTCCACTGTCATGGTTGGACAATTACGACGATGACGAGTACGATAACACAACTCGGTCACAAAGCCTTGCTGATCAAGCCTCTTCTGACAGCAGTGCCGCTGGCATAAAGATGGAGCTGCCGGATGCCTGCAAGGTTCCTCTTTGGCCATCTTGGGTTGATGTAGGAGAACAAAGTAATCCAGATCGGCCACACAGCTCTAATAGCCAAGCCTCTACCAGTAATACTGATGCAAGCATCAAGGTCGAGCCATCCGATTTCTGCCCGATGGCCCTTGCGCCGACACAGCTCCAAGGTTCTAGTGAGTTTATTGAGACCAGCCTCCACAGTTTTGAGTCACCACCTGTGTCAGTGACAACAAGTGGGACAAAGAGGAAACGTCTCCACATGGATGCCCTGAACTGTTTCCATTTAGCTCAGACAGAAACAGGAGCCATGGCACTGAAGAACCCAGCGATCGTTAAAACGTCGAGTCTAGACTCCAACAGGGGCATGTACCCCCAGCTGCCAGGAACAACCCCACGTGGGTTGCCTCCAGCACCTCACTTCTCACAAAAAAAAAAGAAACCCATCCCCAAGAAGTTTTCTCTCAGCGAGGAGGAAACAAACAACCAAACAACGATTGAAAGGCTCTTTCCTGTCTGTCCTGGCAAGAGGGCCATGCCCAGTAGTGCATCAGCTGATAACAAGCCGTGCTCGCATCCCTTACCAGCATCAAGAACAACTGCTTTTTCTGATCATTCTTCAACCCCAACCTTCCCGAAGAAAAACCTGAACACCCAGTTTGCCTCCGTGGGACTGCCTACATCGCAAAAGCAGGCTCAGAACAACACGACGTTATCCACACATCAGCAGAACAGGTTTACTGGGACATCACTTGCCCATTCATCCAGCATTCCAAGCTCCAAAACAACCACTCCAGTGAAGATAGTCCTCTCTTCTACCAAAAGCCAGAGTTCAGACAACTCACTGGATGCAGCTATTGTTGATGTCTCCTTGACGCCGCCAAATTCCAGCCCTTCAAAGTCAGTCCAGAGCACCGACAGCAGTGACGTCGAGAGTTTTGAGAATGAGAGCTTCTTTGATGACCTTGACCCAATTCTCCTGGATGTGGATTCCTCCTCCTCTCAGCGCTCATCTTCCCAACCTGATGCCAGTGAGCCTCCCAACACCTTTGGACTGCTCGGCGAAGAACCTTCAAGATTCAGTGACCTGGATACAGATGATCAGCAACCCTTCCGAGGCTTTGACGCACTCCCTTTGGAAGTCTTAGAGAGGATATTCTGCTTTGTACCCACGATGGATGCACACCTTCGTCTCAGCCTTGTCTGCAAACGATGGAACGAAATCCTCTCAAAAGAAGACGTAAGACATTTCAAAGAATGACTCCACTTGGTTCTGCTTATCATTAGCCAATTAAGCTGTTTCACTACCTTCATAATAAGTGCCCCATAATTGAAAATAAGGAAACATCTCTCTAAAATTGTTCTGTGCTGCACTTTGAACAACTTGACTTCAATCAGAATTAGTTTAAATATATATACCCCTACCTCACATAATTTAATTTTATCAGCATTTACAAAGTTGTCCTTTTCTGGAGAAAGTACTTCCCGTAGTCCGTTACTGTGACATTTACATGGTTTTTTTTAATACAGTTTATGCCATGGAAGAAGGTTTACCATCGCATGCGGATGCAGTCTCTCCATAAAGTCCCTGAACAGCCTAATCTCTTGAGACCTGGAGCGGAGAAAAATGAAGACACTTGTCTGCTTGATCTTGTCAGGTCAGAAACCAAACACATCATCAGTAGCACATCTGGCATTGTTGGCTCTGTTGCCGAGGCACGTGTAATGTTTGGAAGGAGTTTTCCCCTGTTGCGTTGTTTCTTTTGTTTCGGCTGTGTGGTTCCAAGGGGAACCAATGCCACATCTAGTGCAGTCTACTCTATTCAACATCAAGATGTGTCTCTTTCTCTGGAAACATTTTTCTGACATTCATGTACCTAAATGTACATGATGTGGTCTGTGAAAATGGCCTTCCAGTTTTACTGTTTTACTCTAAGACATAATTTAAAAACCTGCCTCCTTATTTGCTCATAAATTCTGGTATGGAGGTTGGTGACGACAAAGGTCGAACATTTCTGGAAAGAAAAGAGTGTTGCCTTTCATACAGTGTAAATGTTTAGTTTTGATGAACTATTTTCCTAGAAAAATCTTCCAATATTAAAAGTTTTAGTACAAAAAGAGACTCTAAGTAGCTGAACTGATTGTGAAGGGGTCTTTAAGTGGTGAGTTAATGCCATTGACAGAATAGTTTTAACCTTATGTAAGGTAAACATTATCTTTTTACACTATATCTTACATTATTTGACACGACACGCCGCAGGAGCATGCCAGAGTTCAAAGATCGCTATGGCTCTGGTATGGACACAGACCTTCACAGACATCCCAAATACGACCTTGCCAAAGCCATCATGAAGAGCAAAGCCCCTGAGCTACTGAAATATGAGGTACTTGCAGCAATATTAATCCCCTAACCCGAGGGCATTTTGTCTCTTTTAAGTATGCCCGATGGAATATAGTTATGCAGTCCAGTTGGTCTGTTTTTTTTTTAAATAAGATAAATTAGTTATTATGTTCACATGACATTTAAGTTCCTCTCTTTTCGGGGAGCCAATTATGATGCTTACAACCAAAAAATATGTAGAGGCCCAAATAAAAAATAGACCCTGTACACTTCAATTAAGTGCATCCCATAATTTTTCATTTGCAAGCAAATTGTGGGAACAAGGTTTTTCCATGCAGGCACTTAGAAAAACGAAACGAAATAACAAAAGATAGATCGCTTTAACTTTAATTTGTTGCCCGTTTTTTTAATCCTAGATTGCTACTTATTGTATTTGGTCATTGCTTTTGTAGGAACCCAATCCCTGGTCCACCATTTGTATGCTCGTTCTCCTGTCTGAGACAGTCCAAGATGTGTATTGCATCTTGAAATGTCTTCTCCATCATACGGCATCTTGTACCACAATGGAGGTGCTGGAATGCCTGTATTGCATCGCTGCGTATCTCTGGAAGTTTAAAATCAGTTTTGAGATGAGCAGTGGGTATGTAGTTAGGCTGAGAATGATATTTGACTGGTTTACAGGGGAATTCTGCCTTTGTCTCTCAGATTGCACCAAAGGATCCCTCTCACCAACAATCAAGAGAAAGGTCGCTGGCAAAATGTCCATCATGGTTTGATAAACAATCTTTGATTCACACAAGGCAACATCAACTGCTGTTCACACCATTACATTTCAAGTCTTGATAGACCATTCAGACACATTGTCATTGCTTTTATACAAGCAGGTCGGTTGTGATCATGCCTAGCTGTGCTGCTGTTCAGGACCCTTGGAGTTTTTCCAAACAAATGCTGGCAGAGTTCTTGACAGGCTTATTATGGTAGCCATGAGCTCGTGGCGATCAGATCTGATCTTTGTTCTGATTTTTTCAGTTAAGAAAAATGAGATTAACAAGAGTATGCTGAGTGCCTTTTAGCCAAGTTGTCACCAGCAATGTTCTGGTGCCTTATCCAGGTCTTGGGTCGGGAGGAGGTAAAATGGAAATTGTTTCCCAAAAGAACTGTCTAAATTTTCTAATCTGAAAATGGCCATTCACCCTCCCCCCAAGAAAGATGTTAGTATGTGGCTTTGAATATGCTAGCACATGTAATTCTTGAAAAAAAAACCCGAAGATTTGGCAATACGGCCAGTTGCCATTCTACTCTAGTTATTCCCTTTGAATGCTCAGGGTAGCCAGCGTTCAGCAGAGTTAAATAATTTTATAAGTCACAGTCACGTTTTAATTGTTTATTCTTGTTTGGGTTTATTCTTCTTTCTGTCTGATCTTGTCTTCCTTGTGTTTTCTCTTTCCTCCGTTATTCCAACTTCCTCTTGTTAATTATTAGATACCACTATCGTGTCTACCATGCTCTGCACTTATTTGAGAACAGTCACTCCTCTGTACCATTGAAAAGGGAAGGCCCATCTGATCTTCCGACAGTAAACAGACTTGGCCTTGCGCTGCCAAGGCAGAGGTATGTCACTTGGACATTCATCCAGTAATCTTTGTACTTTAAATATGTTTGAATCAATACCTCAATACCAACAATCTTTTTTTTTTTTTGGTCCTTTCTGTGATATTTGATCAGATTCACTTTTCTTGGCCTTTCACTTCAGACGGCAAATTTTGTCTATCTATATCTTACACCTCTACCAGAACTGACATGCTTTAATTGTAAGAGCTAACAGATTGCTGCTGGATCTTTAGCTGAGAAGGTCATCTTTTGTTTACAGACTGTTTATTTTGATGTGTTTTTCTGAATCTTGTTGGTTCCATTCAGCATGCCTCCAACTGATGAGCAGTGGCATATCATCAATTATGACATCAATCCTGGCAAAGTGGTCAAGGTTGTTGCTTTTGCCGGTGAGTACAGACGATGTGTGAACAAGAGTTAGCAGACTCCTCTAAAGCAGGAACTTATAAGAATAGGGAGTAATTCTTGGCTTCTCAAATTATGGGGGGATGACACCTTGACAGTGTTTCCAACTCAGATCATTTAAGCCCCTCCCCTCCAGAGGGACCAATACATGGTATAGACTGGTTACCTTGCAAAATGAATGTGGCATCTTTTTTACCTCATTGGTTGCTCTGCAGTGTATTCATTCTTCCTTTTCTATCATTTGATTGGCTACTAGAAATGACGCAAGCACCTGTATGGGGGCTTGTATATATCTAAAATGAGTTGACCTGGTGTTAGAGTTCATCAGGTCAAAAAAGCTGCTAGGATGCCACCTGACTCAGTGCCAGAGATGGAGGTCATGTTTTAAGGAGATGTTGTTATTTTACCCAGGGACTGGCAAGACAACAACCCTGGTAAAATATGCCGAGAGACGACCCAACACTTCATTTCTCTATGTGGCTTTCAACAAGTAAGACATATTGCCTCTTATGTTGTGTCAACAAGTAAAGCATGTTGGCTCTCATGTTGCGTCAGCAAGTGAAATATATCACCTCTTTGGTTGTTTCAACAAGTTAGACACTGGTATATTGCCTCTTATGTTGTGTCAACAAGCGAAATATTTTGCCTCGGTTGTTCCAACAAGTAATATGCGTTGCCTCTTGTGTTGTTTCAACAAGCGAAATATTTTGCCTCTTAGGTTGTTTTAGCATGTTTCAACAAGTACGATGTATTTCCTCTTGGTTGTTTCAACAAGTTAGACATACATTGCCTCTTATGTTGTGTCAACAAGTGAGGCATGTTGCCTCTTAGATTGTTACTTTATTTTGGGTGCCTTCTCCCATCTACACATAGAAAATAGCCCAACAAATCTTCCTCCGTAGCACTTCTGACTGGATTCACTGCATGTGTAAAAAGTTGTGCCTTTTGCATGGGAGATTGTTTATTTGGGCCAGATGGAATGCTGTGGTTACTTTTTGTGGACTGAAAAACTGTTTCAGTTTTGGTTTGTCTCCGCAGGTCAGTACAGAAACATGCCAAGGAGATCTTTCCTGGTAATGTTGAAAGCCGGACGATACATTCCCTTGCGTTCAGTGTAGTTGGGTACAAGTAAGTCGTACAGATGACCCAGAAAATTTCAGATCAGAGGACAAAAAGCTTGATTCTAAGATTCATTGATTGAGATTGGAGAGGGAGGATATTTGGAGAGGACCTCTTCAACCAGGGACTAATTTCATGGAGTGGCTCAGCAGAGCCTCAGACCAAAGTACCAGGCAAACTATAAGGCAGAGGAAAGGCTCCTTGTTCTCCGTCCTTGCCCTTCCATATTGGCACCTGTTTTGAAATTTGTGAATGGCTTTTTTTCGGCAGAAAAATATGATAAATTCCGAAGCAAAAGTGGGTGGAGGTAGGACTCGGTCCATTATCGGTTCTTGTTGAATTTCCTCAACAGTCAGTCAAAAGCTGGCTTCTCTCGCAAGAGATTTTGTTTGTCTGTGGTGTACCTTTGAACCTGCTTGTTAGTTCACCACTCAACCACACTTAGAGTTTTAAAACTTACGACAGAATTCCATGTGAATCTGATAAACAGGTCCCCAGTAATTCATCCGACTGAAGTTGGAACCCTCCAAACTTAATTTTAGAGCCATATTTGATTGATGGTGTATCAATTTCTAATCAGACTGCAGGTACCTTGATAAAGTTACACCCTGAAGTTTTGTCATTTTTCATCGGAACAGGTACAGGAACAAGCTGGTTTCGTCCCTGAATCCAGTCAACATACACTGGGCACTTCCACCGGGAGAACGCAAGGAAGTACCCTGGCTGCGTTACGCTAACCTTGTCTGCAAGACCATCAAGCGCTTCTGTGCTAGTGACAATGATTACATAACAACGCAGCACGTGCCGTCAGAGTACCACACCTATAAACAGAACGGTGATGAAGTTTTCCGGCAGAGGGTCACACTAGATCACGCACTCCAAATGGTATGTAAATATTGTCTGGCTCAAAATGAAATACAAGGAGTATTCTCTCTAGGTAAAATCTTGACTTTTCCATTTCACAAGTTGAAGTGTAATGAAATGAAAAAGTCCAGATTTTACTGAGTGATAATATTCCCCTCATTCCCACCGTTTTATGGGGGGGTCTGCTGCACATGTGTTGATGCCACCCCCATAATTGTGGGTGGTTGCCAAGCAGCACAAATCGGATCACAACTTTCTCCCCAGGTTTTGGTCTACGGAGCTCTGCTGTTCAAAATTAGGTTCTACTGTTCAAAAGCCATGGGAACGAGGATGATCCTTCTTGTTGAATAGTAAATCCCATTTCCCTATGGGAGAAAGGGACATTTTTAGCCCTGGCGTGAATGGCAGTAACAATGAATGTCACATGATGTGAGTCCACCAATCAAATGACAAGAATCTGTGTGCCAGTTATAATAGGCTGAAGACCTTATTTCCTGACCCTTCAAAGCTGAGGGTTTTTTTCTCCGTTTTTAAAACAACATCCCTGTTATTGAATTAGTGACTCATCCATCACGTGTCATGAACAGTCAGTGGTACCAGCTCCTACTTGACTCCGGACTGGTCACTTGGTCTGCTGCTGTTTGTTACCACAGACTTCAAGCTACACCAAGACAGGGTTGTAATCAAGACCCTGCAAGACCATCAGAAGTCCTCCCGTCTAAACTCAAGTCTCTAGACAAACTAACGGTTGCTTGTGACTGGTCTTGTGACTGGTCACATGACATGTCTTATGTAAGACTGAGTCAGTTTGAATGTTTGAATATTCAACTTTGCATTTGATTGAATATTCAAATATTCAGTCGTACCAGCTTCCTTCAAAAGCAGAAACAAAGGATCCGGTCGTTAACAAATTTTTAAAAAGTAATTTTTGGGCTTATTGTTGAGCATATGAATTCAGCGTCTTGTAACACCTTGAAATATGCTTTTAAAACTGAATTTAGAACCAAAAGAGTGGAATTCTTCCCTTTTCGGTTCACTGATTTTCCCCTCCGTATGTTTGAATTTACATACTTTGAATATTTGATAATCAATGGAATATTCAAATAATTGGCACGGCCTAGTTTTGTTCCTTGTCTCGTGATGGTGTTGACTACAATACTGCCCCCAGATGGTATCTTCAAGGGGTCAAGGGTCAAAGTATTGGATAATCTGTAACTATTGATCCCTTAGCTTGGTGGAAAACAAAACTGATTTGATGGTTCATTATTTGTTCTTTATACAGAAAATATCCAATGACTCCTCCTCTGTGTGGGAAAAGATGACTGAAGTCAATAACAGAGATGTTCACATAACTCATGATGGTAATTATGGAATGTGTACTCAAGAAATCTCGGACATTTTTTCCAAGGGTAAATGATCTCATCTTTGAGAGATAGAGATCGGCGTTTCCGCCATCTCGGAGATTATCCCATGGCCTTCCTCCTCGGTCAGAAAGTGGAGGAGATAGATCTTTGTAAACTGTATGCATGAGCGCCGGTGTCCAGTCTACGTTAGCTTGTGCATATTCATGACAAACCCCAAATGATATGATCTGACCAAGTTATCATGTCACTTCACACACATGGGCAAGTGTGCAGGATTGGTGTTCTTCAATAGGATTCAATCAACTGTTGTATCAACATTGGCAGACAGAGACTTGTGTTACTTTTCCAAGAAGTAGAATACTTCAAATACTAATTAATGCTAATTTTTCCTTTGTGTCAAATGGTGGAGAAAATCTTGAATCAGTGGCCTTAACCCAAGCTATAAAACCTCCAACCTCCCCCCTACCCAGTCTCTCTTTGCTGGAAATAATGGCACATGCTTTGTACTGTAACTTTCAAAGGGCATCAAGTACCCTGTGAGGTTGGGCTCTACCCTCCCCAGTCCTACAGAATCCTCCAAAATGCCTGGTGGACTTTGTAGGATCTAGGAGGGATTGCATCTGATTGCTAGTTATGAATTTTCTTGTTTCAGTGTACCTCAAGCTCTACCAACTCAAGAAGCCGTGGTATCTTGACTATGATTGTCTGCTGATTGACGAAGCTCAAGATCTGACACCAGGTGAGTGAAGAACAGCTTAGAAATTTTGATTTATAAGATATTGTTTTATGTCAGGGAGTTGTCATATGTTTCATATTGGCTATTTTAGTTTACACCAATGTGTATTTATAGACACTGTGTAATCAACATTGTCCAAAGGCTTGTAAAAATATCTGCACAAGCTCACTCGGGTGGGACTCGAACCCACAATCTCCTGCTTTATAAGTGCAGACATTTTACCACTTGACCAGACGTGGATAAGACATATCTATCTCCACATTTGTGGAACTGCCGTCTTACCATTGTCCACCACAACCTTGTCTGTGCCTGCTACAAAATTAGACCACGAGTTGGGTCTCCTTAGCTCTTGTCATTTGAGCAAAAGTGGTTAAGACGCTCCTTTTGGCACTAAGTCAATTATGATTTAGAAGAAGCAAATCTGTAAACTAGATGTATCGTCAAAGTTGCAGAGTTTGCTGTTTTGGACTGACTGATCAACTGACTGCTTTTCAATTGGGAAAATGGAATTTCCCAAAACAGGGGTGCATCCGAACGGGTCTAGTTTTGATCAACTTAACTATTATTCTCCAATGCATTTTAAAATGATGTATGCATAGAAACATTCTCAGAATTAAATATTATTAATTTATGAATATTGATTGGAAACTGAATACTTAATAAGCCAAAAAATGTGGTGATGCCAGTCACTGAAAAAATCTTAGACTTTGAAAAAATTGTGACAACATCTCGCTAAATGAGTGTGTAAAACCTCTGGTAACTCAACAGCCCAGGAGCATATCCTCTTGAATCAACCAGGCTCCAAGATTCTAGTCGGTGACCCCCATCAACAGATCTACAGCTTCCGCGGTGCTACGGACACCATGAGAAGGGTACAGTGTGAGAAGACATTCCATCTAACCCAGGTCAGTGGGTCTTGCCAAAATAAATCTCATTGTCAGTTTAGCCTGATGCTGTGTGGACTATTCACATGAAGCACAGTTCGTGTGTGACTGTACAGATTGCGTACTTCCAATTTTCATCGGAATGTGTACAAATATGGAAGACCTTCCCAGGAGACCACAGATTTTCCCGCCATTAGGAGGTACCTTCCGGAGTCTGTTATTAAGAGTGAGAGCAGTTGAGGTCCACTCTGATCTCTGCTCACATGTGTTTCCTTCGTGAAGTATGCCATGCATATTCATATAAAAACAATCCCTGCATCATCAGTGTGCTGGGGTTGAATTTGCTTGGCTCGAAAAGCCGGCTTTATCTGTGCAAAATGTAACATGTTTTGGCCTGATAGCTGGTCATGTAATTGGTTTGTCTACAGTCTTTCCGCTTTGGCACCGAGATTGCCTACATTGCCAACTGCTTGCTTGAGAGGGCAACCAGCCGCAGCACTCCCTCTACACAAACGCTTATTGGCAAAAGAGAACCAGGCAAGTGGTGGGAACCAGTCAAAATCACGGGAGTGGAAGTTTTTCCCTCATACTTGTTGGAGTGGTGAGATCCAAAGGTGGCGTAACTTTGGAAAGAGCTGTGCTGATTTTCAACGCTCCCAAGATTGAGGACACCATTCATTCCACCCCCACATTGTGCTAAGCCTCCTTGATTTTTTCTTCAGCTGATGTGAAGTCGTTTTGCCTCTAGCTTTCAGAAAATCATTGAAGTGAATCAAATGCATTATAATAGCTTCTCTAAATATATTGTAATGTACCTACAAAATCTGTAAATTGGGAAATAATGAACCTTCCCCTGAAATTTTCTGCGCTGAATACAGTTGCCCAGAATTGGGAAACATAGTAGAACTGATTTGTTATCTAAAATAGTTAATGAAAATTATTTTTCTTTGAGCAGAATTGCACAAACTTTTGAAGTGTAATTTCATTCAAATTTCACACCTGGGACTTCTTACCGGCACAGGTCACATTGATGGAGAAGAGATTGGTAAAGTGGCCATTATAACACGCACCAATGTCACATTGTTCAAGGAAGCTGTCAGGATTGTTGAGACTGATTCCACAACCTCAATAGCATTTGCAGGGGTAAGATACAAAGGGCTTTTTTTGTGAGAAATCATTGATATTTTCGTCATTTACAGTCTTTGTTCACCCTTATTGTTTGTATTTTGGAGCCTTTTGTATGCTAAATAGAATACCCCTTTTGACGAGGAGACAAATTCTTCAACAGTTATAAACTGATTCTTGAATACAAAAGTGCAGTTGGCAAGAGTAGATGTTATGTGTTCATGTTTTCATTTTGCTTTGTTCTGTATTTTGTTTCTTTCGTGCATAAGTACTGTTTGTTAGGTCAGCACTCATAAATTGATATTAAAAGTCTTGGTATTCATTTCTGCAGGGCATTGGCAATTATGGTCTGGACGTAATTCTGGATATTTATCAACTGCAGCAGCCAGAGCAGAGTACGTTTCCGTTCGGTCATTATTCAGATTCTGGAAAAATATCACAGTTTTGGAATAACCATGATCCAATTCCATTGCTCTACAAACCAAACAACTCGATGCAAACTGCCCTAGCAGAGAATATTGAATCTTTGACTTGCTGCAAGTAAAACCTTGAACAAAGACCCATTGTCATGAATCAAAAAGTGTAATCCTTCTTCCTACGTTTTCCAACACCCTAATTCTTTTTGGCCGAACACATCACATTAACCTTTCAAGGGAATGAAAGCAAAAGTTGTCTCACAAGTTTGTATTTTGTTATTGTTTAGAACGGGCATTCATCAAGAACAAATACATCTGGAGCCATGAGAACTTTGGCGCACTCAAGCAACATGCCATGGAGACGGATGATATCGATCTGATGAACAAAATTAAAATAGTTGATATGTACAACATTCGCATCCCGGAGATTGTTGAAAAAATCCAGAGTAGGACCAGGCAAGAGGGCATGGCAGGTAGGAAGAAGCCGCAACCATGTCCAATTTACTTGGCTATGGCTTTGAATAGCATGCATGTGTAACCTGGAAATTTGCCCCGCTAACTTAATACCTAAGAATTTGGGCAAGTAACAAGATCTGAAGACACCTGGTTCAGGAAGACTGGGTCGCGATTTATGTGGGAGGTCAGGACAAAGTTAAAAAAATGAAAAAATGGAAATGTGATAACAACCCAATACCGTGCCACCAGTGGATTACTCGAGTGACCAATCCTGCACAAAATTGCCTATAATCATAGCCAAATAATCTGGATATGGCTAAAGTCTCCTTGTATTAATAAGCTTTCTGTGTAGGAACTGGGTATAGTACATTTTAGTGCAAGCTAGCTGCAGATAGTTTGTATGAAATATTGGCTCGTGTTGTTCGTATGATTACATGTTATGACACCAAGCAAATCACTTCACCCCTACATGCCCCTCTCCAGCCAGGTGTAAGTGGTTCCCAGTAAGGGCAGTTACAGTAATTATGTTGAGTCAATTACATATGGCGGCATTGTTATAGTGTACTCCCCAGGGAGCTGAGATGGTTTCGGGAGTGTTCAGATGTCGTTAACCAAGTATACCTTTGAATGACAGATACTGTTAAAAATTGTGTGCCGTACAAATGCTTGATATTACCATTGTTGTTATGTATGTCAGGTGATTTACCATTGTTGTTATGTATGTCAGGTGATTTACCATTGTTGTTATGTATGTCAGGTGATTTACCATTGTTTTTATGTATGTCAGGTGATTTACCATTGTTGTTATGTATGTCAGGTGATTTACCATTGTTGTTATGTATGTCAGGTGATTATGTGAAAATGTGTGATACAATTAGGCCATGATTTTTCAGTAATGTTGATTTGGTTGCATCAGGCAGAACAAGTTTTAGCTCATTTTCTAGTTTAATCTCTCATTATCTGATGAGATTTGATGAGAACTGTTGACAATTCCCATTAACCGCCATCATGGCAAATTCTCGTAAAGGCCTGCTAGTGTTTACTCAAAATTGGTTCTGTCAAGTTGACTGGGTAGGTCACATATAACAATATGTGTTAGCTCCATAGTTTTTATTGTATCATTGGAGGTTGCACACCAGACGACCAATTTCTACTTGAATGTGCTGAAGGGAGCCCTCTATATGTACAGTATTTGGCTGTTTATTTAATGACCTGACCTGTTTCTTGCCAAAGAAATCTTTTGAAGATTTTGCGCTGTTTCTAACCAAAGCATTGTGAAGCTGCTGCATTTTGTCAGGATGTGGACTGTTAGGTGCATGTTTCAACAATCTTCTTTGTGTCAGTGTTGGATATAGTAGGCTTTGACTGCAAAGCAGGATTTTTTGTTTCTAAGTTTGGCTTGCTTTTGTGGTCTTTCCCTCTCACAGATGTCATCCTCACCACTGCTCACAAGGCAAAAGGGCTGGAGTTTGAAACGGTCATGTTCACCAACGACTTTGGAATATGTACTACCACTGGCAGGCTTAGTAAGTTGGTGAATGGAACAGTGAAACCGAGGTGTTGGGGCATGCATACGCATAAAAGATGATTGAAAAGAGCTGTGGTCTTCTCTGCAACTTGTTATTCAGAAAACAGCATCTTTAATCCATTTCATGCCGGAGAATCTAGCCACTGACAGGAATTTGCTGTGAATCTTTACAAGGTGTGGCTAGCAGGTGAAACCGTGCCGTCAAGCTAATTACTTCAAGTCTCCCAGTGTGGAGTTATTGTTTTTATACACACATACACTCGTTGTCTAACAAGTTATAGTGAGAAGTAGTGTACAAACATTTGCCCAAATGACTTTGGAATTCTGAAATTGTGGCATTTGAATTCATTTTGAAAGTTCGTAGATTTGTTTTCTCTTATTTCGGAATTGTGTATTTTGGCACAATACGTCACAATGATAAACTATCTTTGATGACTGTCACTGGAGTGGTCATACTGCATTGAACAAAAGAAAAACAGGTGTTTAAATGGTTCAAATGCAAACAAAAAATCCCACAGAAACTTGGTACTAGATCCATCCTTGATCTTCTCTGATTAGTTCTGTTTTTTTTTGGTTCGGTATTGCTTGAACAGGTCCACTGTGCACAATGGAAGGAGATGAGTTGAACCTGGTATACGTGGCCATCACCAGAGCCAGGAAGAGTCTAGTACTCACCAACAGCTTGATCAAATTCATCGGCGAGCGACCTACATGGGTAAGTTGGGAAAGTTGGAAGTATAAAAAACACCAACCGACAATAGATTGAAATAGTGAGACACCTGGTGTGTACACAACAGTCGAACTGTAATATACCTAGGCCTAGATTGTGAGAAATCTACTGTCTCGGTTGTTCTGATGAGGCTGTTAAATTATTTCAAATGGTTTATTATTAACCCCAGTTCCCTTGGCATTTTACTAGGGACTTTCCCAAAGGGACCGTGAAGTAAGCTACCTGCCAGGACTTGTGCATCTTATGTAGCTTTGATTTCTTTTTCTGTCGTCATCTTCCTAGGAGAAGTTTGTCCACCCGGCACCAGTGATGCCCTCCAGTGGTGCCATCACTCCTTGTGTCTGCATTAATTGTCACACACACATCCACGGGGACTGTGCCATGCTGCTCCAGAGAAAAGCCTGCAAATTGGTAAGTCTTTCTCTCTGTGGTGTTGTTTTGTAGATTGTCACCATCAAATCCTTGCCTGACACCACTAACGGTGGTAAACATGCTAAAACTCATTAAGCCATGCATTGGGGTTGAGTTGCAATAGGTTATTGGTTTGTTTGGGGCTGAATTTGGACTGGATCGTTGGTTTACTTCTTTTTTTTTAAATACAGCTTGGACTTACCCTTGTGATGATCTCCTTGTCTTTATTCAGGCCTATCCATCAACCACACGGAAGGGTGGGATTTGTTGCAGAAAGTGCTCCATTAAGCTATGTCCAACCTTCTCTTGTTTGCTCGGATAAGACATTAAAAGTTTACCGTCCAACATCGCGGTGAGAGAAACATGTAGAGATGGAAGAGTTTATTTTTAATGATGCCTTATATGATTAAAAATTAGTCAGGGCTGCCACACCAGTCAAACAACAAGACTGACTTTTGACTTGAGTGTAGTTTGGGTATCAGACCACGTACAGTTTTGAGCTGAGCAGACCATATTCTGGCAATGGAGCCTTGGCCCACTGGATGAAGCTCATAAGCTCCTAGCTGGCAAAGAGAATATTGAAATAAGAAGCAGAATGTGTCTGAAATATTGATTCCTTACCAGGAGTTTCTATGCCCGTGGAAACACTGACATACCTTGGTTGTGAAAATGGGCTGAAGGTTGGCTAAGTTTTTCTGTTCCAATCAGCACAATTACCATTCATTAGCTTCATGACGTTGCCCCGGTTCCCACCAACATCAGCAGCATGGTATCTGAATTACAAGATGTGATTTTGCAGGATTGCATGTGACTGCTTCCCATTGAATAGTAGAAGCTACATGTGTTGCACACAAGAAATGAAAGCATTCTAATGAATTGGTTCAATCATCGGCACTGTTTCATCGAGCTGCCGTGCGGAAAACATTTCGAAATAAATTTTGAAAAGGTGCAAACTGCTCACACAACCAAACCTCACAAGTAACTTTGGCAATCAGAAAGTGATACTACGTGAACCGTTCTGTATTTTGAGGAAATGAATCGGTTCTTCTTAGTGAATGAATGTTTTTATTTGTAACCTTTACATCCGAGAAAGTGGCACTGCTCTAATGTTTTGGTGTTATTGTAACTTCAGTTACAAGATATCTTCATCTTTGTAAAGTAAAATGCCGTATTTTTATAGTACTGATAATGCATGCAGTAGGAAGCAGCCAATCAGCCAATCACAACATGCATTCAAAGTCGGTAACAAGTCTTCTGATTGGATCACTGGTTCACACTCATGTTTAAACTGAGATCTTCTGATTAGTGCAATTTTTTAAAATTTACCTGTTTCAAAAATAGCCTATAATGTCACAAAGTATTACCATGGCAAAATCCATGTGATCTGTAAGGGATAAAATCCCTGAAGTAGAGTCTTCCAGCTGTGTATTTTTATTGATCACACAATAAAGATTTATATTGCGGTGATGTTGTTAATACATCATTTGTTATTGGGAAATGAAAAGCAATCATGGAAGATGTTTTCATCTTTACGGTTTCTTTTTTTTCCAAAAATGACATTGGCAGTCCTCTTACAGGTAAATAAGATAAAGGTGCTACAGAAGAATTATTGTGCTTACAAAATTAAACAAAGTTCCAGGAAAAAAAACGGAGGTTCTCAAAGGTTAGGGAACTTTTCAAAAGTAAAAAAAAAGATTTATGGCCAGCTGTTTAGCCACAAAACTTGCCAGTCATAGAAAATAGTATTTATGTAGCGGTCCGGCCCCCTGGCCAATCGCTCGGGGGCGGCGGTCCGTCCGCCACTGAAGGGGGAATTGGAGGCCAGGCAGGCAAAAAGAAAGTTCAGCAGACACTGAAAGACTTGGGTGTTCAAGCGGACTGGATTTCTTTTATAATCACAACTGCTTGGACAATTAAACCGGTGCTAATCTATGTGATTCCCGGCTGAGCCATCACAACGTCCATTCACCCAGTCATCTCACACAGCACCTCCCGCTTTCCCGAAAAAAAACTTGGGAAACTCGCCCAACTTCAGTGCCGCCAAAAAGTATCACATTGGAGGCCACTTCCAGCCGACAGGCAAGACTTACAGAAAAAACTTGTACTGTACATTCTGTGCACCCACGTGGGCCAATCATGCCTTGAAGACGTGCACAAGGTTCAAAGGTCACACAATTCGCTAAATTAACGGGGAATTCCCAGATCCCTACATTTATAGTATATTTTATTCCTGGCAGAGGGACGTTCAGGCAGTGTTCCTCCCTGAAATTGCATCATTGCTGGCTTTAAACACCCCTCTGCTGGCTAGCAAACTATACATACAAATGTACTTGGTAAAAGTAAGTTAGCAACTAAAATGCGTAAAGTGTATTACTCATTGCTGATACTCGGTATCCTCTAAGCAATATTTGCTGCTTAGAATAGTAACTCCATAAAGTTTGACGGAGATAGAGTTTCATGCAGGTTACTGTCCCCAGCCACTTTGTCCGTTCCAGATAATATAATTTCTGCCAGATCGTGTGATCCTTAGACAAGGGCGGATCCAGAGCCAAATTTTTTCTTGGGGGGGGGGCTGCAAACAATGTTCATGTCAACTTTAATTTCCTTTCTAAGGATTGTGGCTACATTTTGGAGCTTTGTACATGCTTTTGAATAGAAGGGAAAGAAAGTACAACCCCCCCAAAAAATCCCCCTTCATCATTAAAAAATCTCTAGGGTGGGGGGGGGAGCATGGCCTCTTGACGTGGCCCCTCCCATCTGCCCTTGTCCCTTGATAATAGATATATTTTTGCATATGGTAACCTGTGGAATCTATTTCATTATTAAGGGTTATGATATTCGGAATGGTTTTGCCTACCATTCCTGCTGCTTCAAGAATCATGTTGCTTGTCTGGCAGTAATACGATGACAGGTCCAAAATGGCTTGTGTCATCGGTATACAGGTGCATTGAAGTACCAGGAGAAAATACACTGTGGAAGATCATGCCTAAAAGGGTTTTTAAAGGGGATCTTACCATTGATCCTTGTGGAACTTGAGATGGAACCATTGCAGTCTATCAAAATTGGCCAAAACAATTAAAAATATTCTGTGCTGAAAAGCCAGAACAGTTGTATCCGTGCAACAGCACTAGTTGGGATTTCCTTCCAAGCCTGTGTCCAAATAAAATGAGTTTTTCCTATGATCTGACTGGCCAGCCAGTTATAGTCAGGAGGAGACTTTGGGAAAACTAGAGTAAAAATATTTACCCAGAAGAGGCAAAGTGGATTTGATGACCATTTAAAGATGTGATAGTGGATATGACTTTATCAACAAGGTCCCAGCATTACAGCTTCTTTACCCCAATCGCTGGTGCCAGAAGTAGGGGGGGCCCAAGGATGCCAACTTCCCCCCCCCCTTTGAAAATGATTCCATGGCCGTTGACCCCAATCATGTTGAAAGCGTATATTCAGAAGTCAACCAGATGGCAAAACATGTCTTGCAGTCATTTCATCAGCAACTTGTCCTAATTATGGGCCCCGCACAAATCACACCCACCCAATCCTCAGTCTGTTCTGAATGCAAATGAATATCACCTTCTTGGATTTCAGAAGGAAATGTGATCTGGGGTGATTTTCTCTAGTGACTGGCTGGCTATTGAGGTTCATGACACTGGCTTTTAGTCCACACCAGACTTGTTTACACATTATTACATTTTGGTGAAGTAATGTAGCTGGTCATGACTACGCATGGTTCCCCTAATGTATATGGGCGGGGTTTCAAACGTACGGAGGGGGAAAAAACAATTATTTATTCAGGTGGCCACAAACGACCGGCATAACAGGTGACATTGTCTTAGCAATCAGAGGATGCTAAGTCACCCTTACTTGTGTAAATCATAACAACATTAATCTGTAAGCCGTGTAAACTTTTTTGTGACAGGTTACACAAAGGTATGTCAGACATACATAGGTTTTTATACCATCAAATGGATGTGTAGTCTGGCCAGGGGCTTTTGTTCTCATGATAGTTCGGATTTACTAAAAGCATAGGGGTGGATGCGTTGCAGAGTTGACGCTGTCAAACTGAGATTTAAAGGAGGGCTTTGAAGTTGTATTATGGAACAACTAGCAGGCAGCGTAACTGGAAACTTTTGATTTCATGCACTGTTGGTAAATAAACAGCATCTGCAGTCAGTACAAGGGGGCAAGAGGTGGATCCTTTTCATTGTAATTATTTTATGCCAGGTACATGGAGTTCAGTTCCCCTTGGGGTTCACTGACTGAAGTTAAGTAACTATTCCGAATAACTGTACCATTTTTCTTAAATTGATTATTTGGTGAACATATGTGCTTCAAGTCATTTACTCTGGCATTTTAAATGGGGCCAAGAGATAGTGGGGAGGGTAGATGTCCTCAGGGTGGGGTATGAGGGAGGTTTTTTATTTTCAAAAGTTAAACGATAATGGACACGTAGAAAATTGTATCTTCTCCGAGTAGTTCCTCTTAGTTCCTCTTACCCGCAAAGAGAAGACTGGTGGGGATTGTTTCAACTTTGGAAGGGCACAAGCGCAGAGACCACACGGTCCACCAGAAACTGGCTGCACTGCATTGCCATTGTATTAAATGGTTAACTTTTGACAAAAACAGGGAACTTTTTCACACACTGCATCAATTTTGCGAATTGATGTCTGCCACCATCGTACTGAAACAAGAGAAGGTGCTGCCTTTTTTCATGAACACGGAACAGAATGATGACACATGGATTGGGGGACCAGTTTCTTGCGTATTTTAATGAACTCCCTAGTGGAGATGTACAAAGAGACATGACGTAGGTGTTATCTCCAAAGTTGTTTTCTTTTTGTTTTTGTTTTCTCCCATTTGAGTTGCTATGTAACACTAACATGTCAAGACAATACTCACAAATCTACAAAATAAAAAATATTTGATTTGAAGCAACAAGATTTGCAGTAAATGTACAGTGATAACGAAAAAAAAAAAAGACTAGAAAGCTTGTATAATACTAACACTTTGGTATTCAAAACACTCTAAAATGGCATGAGACAATTCACAAGGGAAATGTTCTGTATCTACAAAAATGGCAAGGATCAAGTTCTCTCTGTTCAGCTCATCAATGATATCAAATCATATTACCAGAATACTGTGCATGCACACTGTAAAGCCAATCTACTTGTCTTGTGTAATTTCACCTAATGGTTTTTTTTCGTCTTTTTTACTTCACAGGGAATCTGTGACCCCATTCGATGAGAACAAACCTCAACATGGAAATACTTGTCACATTTACAGGCCCAAATTTTTTTCAAGCATTTAAAATTCCTTTTGTGTCATAGTGTAGTTAAAAACGGCAATGCTCGCCATCAATATTGTCAAAATGAAACAAAATGAATGTCACTTAACAGTTCCGCCTCTGCTCTGAATCAATAAGTTAAAGCCTAATTTAGTAGGTATGCAATTAATCAAAGTTACACTGCCAACGGTGCAACAAGCTGGTGTATTTTCATACTCAAATTCCATTTTTTTATCTCCCACTTCCGGGGGAAAAAACTACTTTCATTTGATACATCGACCAAGTCTTCCCCAAGAAAAACTGGCCGATTACCGTTTCAAGTTAGATCAAGTTCCTGACACAGCATGATTCAAATCTAACAATCGTATCACAAGGATCAATTTAAAATATACAATTCATCTAGAAGGCTCTACAAGCTACGCAGCATAAATACCTAAGACCTAAAACACAGACTGGAGATTGGCCCATATTAAAAAAAAAAAGTCTTTAGCCAAAAATACAATCAGAAATGCCCATTATTTTTCCTTTACTATCTTCTGATTAAAGCTGTTGATTCTACAGTGGCCTGCTTTACTCACATTTGCTAAAAAAATATTAACATTTTGGGCCCTTTTGCTCAATTTTTTTTCTCCTTTTGGCAGTGTTCATTCCTGATAAGGATTGTAAATTATTTACTCATTTAATTCCACTTTTTATTTGACAACCACTACAAAGAATGGGGAAAGAACTGATTAAATATTTATCGCAGAAAAAAGGGCAGAATCACGCCTCCTTCAGGTAATTTCTGTATTGTGGGATAACAAGTAACTGGCATTTATAAAACTTTAAACAGTTGCCAATCAGTGAATACGAAAAAAGTCACCCATCTTGGCAATTTACATAATTGCTTTCAATGTATACATACATATTTCATAAAGGGGGTGGGGAGAGGGACTTCTTTCCAAATGTTAATAACATGGCAATGTTTCAAGGTAACGAACAGTTGGGAAATAAGGTTGGATTTATTTCATAGTTCAAGAAGCAAAACTGGCCTGAATGTAAAGTTAGAGGAATACAGGGTTGTTACATACAAAAATTACCTTTACACAAATTACTGTCTACGATTACTCTTCAAGTTTACAAGGTCTGAAGAATTGGGGGTATTTCCACAAATATTTATACACTTCCTTGTGTTTTAAAAGATCCTACGAACAGGACAGTCAAAAAAGGTTCATATCTACAACTGTATTACCTCAAGACATATCCACATCATGGCACGATTTCATTGTGGTCATTGTCTCAAAACACAATCTTTTTGTTTCTCAAGAATACACCCTACACATAGAGTATGACCCAGGAATCTACTAGCTCTTTTGTAATTTCAAGTTGGCGGGACTTAAGGGTTGACAGATCGATAGCCATAGCAACAGATTTGAAATTACTCAATAGCCCCTCCGCAACATTCACCCCTTTGTGTCAGAGGAAGACAAGATGCAGAAAAATGCAAAGAATACTCAAACTAACGTCCTTTTAAAATTTTTGTTTGTTGTCTATTTAGCTTTCTGCTATCTTTGGAAGGAGATGACAAGGGATTACAGAAATAATTGTGTGAACAGGGAATTGTTGTGCCAAACATGCTGGCATGACTGTTACACAACATATTATTTTTTCTTTGATTTATTCAACTGGAGTTGAGCTCAGTGCAGTGCCGTGCATGTAAGAAGCAGGCCTTGATGGTAAAAGGGTGTATTTCAACGGCCTTGAGAGGCTTAGCGATTTGTCGACCACAAGGACATGAGGGTACAATGCTAAAACACAATGTACAAGTTTTCAAACACAAGACATCAATGCACAATTACATATCTGAAATACAAGGCTTGCTTATTCAACAAAGACGTGACCAGCTTAGAGTTAACCTCTGACCTCCACTACCACTATCAGCTTTAGTTTCAAGCACTAATTATCAGTTTGTTTGTTTTTTTACATTCATGTTTCTACCTTGAGCCATTCCGGTACTTGATTAGTAGCACTTAGTCACTAGACATTGCAGATATTCACAGCGTACCTCACTCAATCCACTTGTCCACGTCCTTTCTTAAAATTTTAAACCAATGCCGTTAAATTGGTTTTATTTAAATGACGGAATTCTCCCTGTCAATGCCTACTAGATATTCTCTCAGATAAAGCCCAATGCTGCTACACATTCCAATAAAAAAAAGGAACAAAACAGCCACCAGGTATTAAAATAGACTTGCAGATCTAAACACATATCTTCATGGCCGCCAGCGTTGTCCCAAACAACAGAAATAGAACTTTTCTGGAACCGACGTGTCTGGAACGACACAGCCTTATCTGTTAAGTACAATACACACAACTTGTCAGCACCACCGAGTTTATCTTTCCGCAATTTATTGCTTTGTTTGTTTCTTTTTTTCTTTACAAGCTCATTGTTATTCTTTCTTAAAAGTCACATCAATGTCAAATTAAGGTCGTGGAATTGAAACTTTCGGCTACATCCGTTGAATGAGTTCATTAAAAAAAAAAGTAGAAATATAAGCGATTTATAGTTGTATAAAATGCCCTTGACAGTGTTATATCGGATTAGGCATGGTGATGCTTTAAGTATGACAACCCATCATTAAAAAAGACTCATAAAATTTCAGTTAAAAATCTTGCAGGGGTAATGGAGCAGTTAAGCTGGACTTGTGCAAGGCTGAAAATGTAATTGAACTGTTGGAAGAAAATATCATGGACGAAACAAACAAAACACAAGTGTTGCGTTCCGACTGTGGACACCTCGAGGGAGCCATCTCTAACAGCACACTTTAAAACGGCTACAAATTGACTACGGCAAGTAAAAATAACCAATAAAAAAGAAACAAAAATAATCCAAGCAACATATCGACAAAGCTACATTACGCAGGCTTCGAAATTGCTTTTACAGCTTTACATGGCTAAAATCAACAATGCCAACAGTGCACACCACTAAGGGACGCCAACAGTGCACACCACTAAGCGAGGCCAACAGTGCACACCACTAAGCGAGGCCATTTGCGCTCGGTTCTGCTCTCTACATCCCGAGTGGAATCCAGACATGACATTTCTTTGGACAGCAAGGCGTGGAAAAGAATTCACTGGGCACTGCCAGCTGACATCATGAAGACAGAACCGACCCACGGATTGGAGGAAGAATGCCTAGAGTGGGAATGCACCATGAAATGGATTTACTGACAAACCAGTAAACAACGTGCATTAACTAGCCACTCAACATAATGACTTTTTTGGTTCAAAGCTGAAGGAAACAGGATGTAAGGTTGAGGTTTTTTGAAGCCCTAATCACCCTCAACAGGTGAGAGATCAAGCACTGGCAGGATTAATCTAACTATTCCGCCTTTCCCAAGCCACGGATATTCCTCTCTCCCAGTTGATAGCTTTACTGTGCTTGGACAAAAGCAATAATGATAGAGCCTCGCTAGAGCCGTAGTCTGTTTCCAACTTATCTTGAGACACAAATGGCCTGGCGTTATTTGTCACTGAATTACAATATGGAACAGTCTGTTATTGACACGAGTAAGGGAGGCGGGAGAGATAGTGGCTTGAGGACGGCCTTACTCGTCTCCATATTCCAGATCGTCGTCATCTTCATCATCGTATTCATCGTCGTCGTCATCGTCTGGCTGCGGCGCTGTCTGGGGGTGGTGATGCTGCTGAGCCTGCTGCTGTTGTTGCATGTGCATCCTCTGCAGCTGCATCTGCTGGTGGGCAGCGGCGGCCTGCGCACTGCCATTGTAGCTGTTGGCTATGCCCAGCCCCACCTGACCAAACTGCTGCTGCTGTTGCCGGTGCTGCTGTTGGGCTTGGTGTTGCTGCTGGGCTTGTTGCTGTACCTGTTGTTGCTGCATGGTGGCAGCTTGCATGTGGCTCATGCTTGGCTGAGAGGACTGAGTTGGTGCTTTGTGGGGCTCTGGAATACCCTTCTACAAATGACACAAGAAAAAGTAAAAAAAAAAAACATTTCTTTCTTATGCATACATTAATACAGAGGGCTATGTCAAGGTCTATTCGATCAATCTCAAGCTGAAGTGCACCCTCCCAAGCAAAGAAGAGACAGAGATGGGAAATTTCTCACAAGCGAACACCATGAACTCATACAAAATTGACTGTGTGTCCCTCGAAAAATGGCATAAACCTGTGCGTGCATGCTTTGTTAAATTCTGGTAGGCTTCTTTGAAAATGTACTTAGACTGAACTTTGCATTTTTCTCCCAAGCTAAACCTAAATCCAACTACAAGTTCTTCGGATTTTAGAACATGAAAGCCTGCTGACTGCACACTCAAGTTGCTTTCAGAGTTTCTGTGATAATTGGAATCAGAGCCATTCCCCCCCTACCCAACATCTAAGACACACCCGCGTTAAGAACACCCACAAGACACCATCTACCTTGAGTCTCCACTCTCTCATAGCCTCCTCGTACATCTGGTACTTGATGGCCACCTGGTCCTGGTAGGGCTTCTTCTGCTGGTCAGTCAGCTTGTTCCACTCTTCGCCGCAGATGACTGTTAAGCGCTTGCCTGGCTCAAGCGGCACGCCTTTCATCTTCTTCCGGAAGTCCTCCAGGAAGAGGAAATAGGCCGTGGCTGGCTTCTTGGGCTTGTCAGGGTCCCGCTTCTTTGTGAACATCTCACGCTGCAAGGGAGACGAGTCATTACCGTTTAAGAACTAGATACCTTGTCAAGCCAACGTCATTTCGAAAATTTGAGCGCAACTCTGCTAAACTTCACAGGGTCTAAAAGTGAGATTTTTCTGATCGGAGCAGAAAAGAAAAAGAAATTATTTTGTTTCAGTAGTTAGGTTCTGTTTTTAAGAAAGGAGGTACCGATATCTTTACAACTCAGTTGCTTTGAGATATTGTTAGAACCAGCATAATATCAAATGGCAAGAATAACTGCATGTATAATAAGTTTTTAAACCCTAAAAAGCACAATACATCCCTGCTTTTGAAATGTTAGCTATACCACTGCTATGGAAAAAGAAGAAAAAGCAAGGGCTCATTATCGCCGCATGTACAAAATATTTTTTCACAATTTCTCACTGAAACTGGTTAACCCTCCTATGCAAAGATGCATTCTTGAGGCAGTTCTCCCATCAGTCAAAATCAGTCAAGTGACATATGATATGTCTATGTACAGTACAGGGAGAAAAGGAGGGAATTTTTGATTGTCTGTGACTGTTACAGCAAAAGGATTTAACCCCAACCCTCCTTAATCCTCCAAAATCCTTTGGGCGGTTTTGGACGATTTTGGAGGATTGAGGGTGAATGGCAAAAGTGCATGGCTGATTGCGAAGGATGCCATGCGTGAAGGTTGTGGGTTAGACCTTGAGTTGTTCTTGCTCAGTCATGCATAAATTCAGCCTGATATTTCTTTTAAATCAACCGCACTGCTCAAGAATGCCATTCGCACTGCCTCAACATAATGACAGGAATTTCCGGAGGATTTTGAAGGATTGAGCCAGTAGGCACACCTCCAAGTAACATTTTCAGGAATTGCCAGAGGATTTTGAAGGAATTGAGCCAGAAGGCACACCACCAAGTAACATTTTCAAGAAAGGTTGGAGGATTGCGAAGGATTGAAGGAGAATCCAAATTTTCCACCCCTCCCCCCCCCAAATTGGAGGATTCTGGAGGATTGAGCAGGGTCCCTAGCAAAAAGGGTCTGGGGTTAGGATTAAAAGCTATTTGCTTTGAAATGAAGCAATTTCTCTCGCAGGGGGCAGTGCATGCATAAATGACATAACTTGGGGAGTAGTTCTTGAGACTCTTGGGATACCAACCTGAGCCAAGTACCTCTCCCTGTCTGACAAAGCCAGATCCACGTAGGGCTTCCTCTCAGCTTCGCTCATTGCAGTCCATTTGGCCCCACACGCCTTTGTAATTTCACTGGCCTAGGGATTAAAGGAGCAGTTAGGGTCATGAATCCTGTACTCATGTTTGTACCACTTTACACTTGATTAATGCCCCCTGAAAGGGAGTTTAAAAAGAAATGGCTTAAAGAAATGCCCATCTCCTGAACAGTGCAAGAACAAACAAGACATGTCCTCATTTTGATGTTTGGAATGTCCCTGGCTGTTTGATTCATCTCAATTTTCCATCGACTAATCCACTAACCATGGCAATGTTATGAATGGTCATTAGCAAGGGCTCGTGCCAATGTCAGGATGCACTGCAATGATCATTACACAATGTATGCAGCCACTGTTCTGAGACAGTTGCTGTGTACAAAATCCAACATGATGATTTCAACCATTACAGGGGACCATTAACCCTAACACTCCTCAGTCCTCCAACAGGTGAAGGATTGAGGAGTGTTAGGGTTAAGACTGTCCAGTGAAATATCACTATATACAATGTATATATTTGTAACAAGAACTAAAAATGGTCTCATATATACCATGGCTTAAATATTTCAATTAACAACCTTTCAAAAAATCTAACCAAAAGAATGAGTGCTCTTCAAGTGTTCCAGCACTGGTCTTGCAAAACATACTTCAAACATGAGTGAAATTTCTCGGCTACTGAACTAGCAGTTCAGAAGAGGTTGGCCTGAAATACCAGCCCTGCAACCAGGCTTACACTCTAAGCAACTGAGCGGAAACCAAGACTGGGATCAACAAGTCTTCTGGTCCATACCCTTGGAATCTGCTCCCCGTTCTTGCCAAAGTTCTTCCTGAAGGCCTCCAAGTAGTAGAAGTAGCCTGTCTTGGGCTTCTTGATGTGGTCTGTGGGCTTGGGACGCCTCTTTCTCTTCTGTTTGCCCTCCTTGGGTTTACGCCCTCGCTTGGCCGGTGCCACCATCAGCTGTTGGTGTTGCTGCATCATATCTGGCAAAAGGATTGGTGCACAGAAACAGCAGAGTCTCATGAGTACTACCACACTTGTGTAGTATTAACACATTTAATCAAAAACTGACTGGCATGCATTCATATCTTCAGATCTCCTGCCTTCAAGCTTGCTGTCCTGGAAAAACCTGCCTGTTCTTGAACCCTTTCGGAATACCTATAGACACAAGCGGAGAGAAAGGAACGGTGCCCTTCTCCCATCAAATTCTGGCTAAACCCTTTCCTTTTCCAATAGGGAGCATACAGTAACTGTCGAGGGCAGCTACACAATGTCAGCGACAGGAACAAGCCATTTCAAAAGTCACAGGGCAAGTTAGAACAAGGACCACAGTTAACCATGGTTTGACTATCTCTGACCGAACATATACTAGTCAATGATGGTTGGACTAGTCTAGGCAACTATTCACGACCAGCCTACCAAGGCTGGTCACATCATAGGTTGCCATAAACCATTTTTAATTGCACAGTGCAGAGAGGACCAGTTAAAAGAAAATTGCCGGAAAAGAAGTATGTCACTTGTGAACGACCATTTTCACTGTCATTTTTGCTATTTCGTCCTTCCACTTTTTCTCCCCTTCGGCCTGACGACCTGACAACGGTTGACTAGGGTCGTTGGCGCTAGGTACATCACTCAGGAATCAACCACTAGTTAACTAGTGGTCCTTGATCGAACTCACCCAAAGTCAACTTTGGTCAGTCAACTGGATAGCTGGCATAAAGCCACTTTAGCCACAGAGCAGCATCCCGGTGCAATAACACTTATGGTGAAAAACCTCTATCGTTGTTACTGATCACTGAAGCTGTTTCCATCCAACTTAAAGCCCTCTTTGCGCATTCATACACGTACGCCACAAAATAAGACACAGCCCAGCAGATACTGGTCTTGAATGACATACTCTATTGAAATTTGGTACGTACGTTTGGTGTACTTGCTCATTTGCAGGAATTTCCCTGATGACATCCCTGACATTGATGATATCTCTATGATGGTAATAATGAATATTTCACACAACCCTATCACTGTGTGGCTGTGCATTTTATTACATACAAAGACAAAGAGATACCTCCACTTCATATTTTACGGCACCACACATCAAAAAGAAAAATTGAAATATGGCATTAACAGTACCCTCAAATTTCCTGCAACTGGTGATAAATCATGTGCAGACACCAGTAGACTAACAAGTGCATAGTTAATGAGTCTGTGGAGTTTTGTTTTCTCCTGAGTGCAAATACTGCTCTTACATTAAAAATCCAAACACTGACTGAACGGAACTGTTGAATAGAACTAAACTGAATCTGAAAGGTGCACGATACTGTGAAATAAATTCAAAACTTTGGAAGTTACATTATCCTTCTATTTGAGTCCGACTGACAATTCCCTTTTCACAACTCATACATGTATTGTGTTTGCTAAATGATACAATGTGAGTTCCAAGTTACTCCCACAGATTATCAATTTCCTCCATATGGAAGTCAGACACAATAATATTTGTAGTATTAGGTAATGAAGGATTCCCATGAAGGTTGCGTACAGTGTATGCAGTTTGAGATAACTGGAGGATACGTGTAAGGCATGTACTTGATTTCATTTTTGCTGAACACACTTATATCAATGACATCGAATTTACTCAAAGGTTTTTACAGTACACATACTGTGACAGTGAGCGGTTAGATTGAGTGTTATGCCTACATGTTTGTTCAAGTGAAATTTCTTTTGATAAAGAAGAAATGGAAACAGGGCTTTTTTCAATTTCTTCCCTAAACACTGTACCTGTTTGGTGCTACTTTTCATTTTAAAAAGGATGCAAGATTTGGATACAAGAGTGTGTTACATTGTGTATGTCCAAGACTTTCATGGCCTAATCATGAATATCGTGACCTACTAAACATGAGGAAACTACATACACCCACCATTTCTTTTTGGGTTACTCTCATTGAAAAAAGGCACTTTCTCCTGACAAATGAGGGCGCCCTTACTGTGATGTCATTAAAGGATGGCACTGTTCCCTTGAGGGACTTGTTTAGACTGTGAACCAAAAGATTTGTTTAGTGGAAATGTTCGTGAGCAAACTGCTCAGCGGCATGCTGTCACGAACTGAAAGAAATCACCAGTGCACAAAATTTACCACAGCAAAATATCCACAATTCTGGGAAAATTTCAGAACACAAATATGGTAGTTCCTTTGGATGACAACACACTTTGGGACAGCAATTAGCTTTACCATATACATCAAAATGGTGCTAAATTTCTGTGAAACAACAAAAATTGAAAACCAGACTGAAGAATTACACTTCATAGACCCCTGGAGTACTCATGAACAATACACATTCTTGAAGTACTTCAATGTAGCTTACAGTTACACTTTGCCTCTGCTCTCTGCTATCCGACATACATTCTCCTGCTATTAATGTTCCTGTTTTGAGTCCACATCAACAAATACCTCAAGTTATTCCCTTGTAGGCACTGCTTGCAAATATCTCACACTGGCCCTAGCTCTATGTACACTAACGGGGGAATGATTATAAACACTATCAATTTCAAAAACTTGTTTTCTGCTCCACCCAGCCGGTACTGTCTCCTTACAGACATGGTGCTCTTTTCACGGGAACTGCCTAATCCTCCACAATACATACCCTGAGGCAAATTCAATTTGGGCCAAACAAACTGAAAATCACAGACCTCTTGTACATGTATTTGCCACACGTACATGTGTGGAACAGCATCCACACGTACCCATGTCAGTGATTTCTCTTGACAAGACACAATCAGCAGTTTTTGGTTTGGAGTTTTTTCACATCAGGTTCTTAGGTCATTTCTAAATGCATGTGTAAGGAGGGGTGAGTTTGACCAACAATAAAAATAGCTGAAAACAGCTGAAAACAGCTGAAAACAGCTGAAAACAGCTGAAAACAGCTGAAAACAGCTGAAAAAAGGCATCAAGAAGCTGAACTGTGAAAATCTCCTATACTTTTGTACACAGTCAGTGAGGGAAAAAACAACCGATTTAATCCAAAACAAAAAAGCAGAAAAGCTGAGAAATCCCACCCCTGATGTCTAAAAGTCTGTAAATGTTCTTTGAGAGCCTTCATCCAAGCAAGAATCTTATAATTTATGTGTATTAATAAACCCTAGGTCTCGGTATATCAAGTAACCTCAAGGATCTTATTGTACATGTCCATGTTAAAAAAGGTGCATTACAGTGATTGTACATGTCCATGTTAAAAAAGGTGCATTACAGTGCATCATCATGAATTCATCACCATGAATTATTAGGTATTTGGGCTTTGGTACAACTGTACGTAAATGTTGAAAAGAAAACTTCTGGAGAAAGCAGCCTGCAGTAAAGGCATACTTAACCCCCTGGGAATGAAATTATTTCACAAGAGGCCGGTACTAGACGAGGTGTACATCCGCTTCATAAAGCACCGTTTGCCTCGAGGATTGGCCGTGCTCATGGCCAAGTCAGGGTACCACACACAGTCAGTCTCTATGGAGAAGCTGGTCAATCATCAACCCTCTCTCAGTGTACAGGACCACTGGAAACTGCTCAAGCATGACGCACACGTCAGCCCTCTCCTGTTTGTGGATACTGCCGGAATGTATTAACCTGCTCCCTCAAGAAACTAAATGTACTTCCCTAATTTGTTGTGGCTTTACTCATCCTCCATCAAGTGGCAAACAGTCTCTGTTTTTTTTTCCCACATGTAGGAACTTTTGCTTCTTTGCTTCTATACTTCCCACAACTAGGAACTCTGTGCTTGCAAGGCGAGAATAACCTATCTTCACAAGTGTGGTAAGTAGGGAATGGTTATTACAAGTACAGAGCCATGGTCAGTAGCACTGCCAACTTGGATCTGGCGAATACCACCCCAAAATACCAACCTCTCTTGGGAGTGGGTCAACCCGTAGTCTGAACTCATCCCAAAATATTACTCAAGCTGAGTGAGCACCTGAGAGTGGCCTAAGCATCTTTATCTGTATGACCTCTAGAGCAGGTCAAGCAATTTAATCCTAAGAGAGTGGGACAGGGGAAGGAGCAGAATCTTCTCCCCACGACATTTCTTCTGATATCGTTCAAGTGGATTTTTTCACGTATCAAATCTGCAGGAGTTTTTAGTCATCTTAAAATCATATTAACACAAATTAGGAGAAAATTTGACATACTGTTTTGGGGCAATGCCCAGTTTTCCGACAGTTCAGCCCAAACTGTTTACTTTCCCACTGGTTTGCTCGATACACACAAGCTGGCATGCACGAGGCCATCAAGTTCAAATGACAGTAACTGCAAAAAATTATCTTGGATTTAGTTGAACCTTCACATTTGTATACCGATGATCAATGTCTCTATGTGCATGCAAAGTTTAAAAAAGATCAGGCATCGGAAAGCTGTGTTCTTTGAGGGGTGAATCTGTCCCTTCCCCCTCATCCCGAGATGGTCTGAAAAAACCTAGCTCTTGTGAAGTTACCGACAAATATCCACACACAGCGACGGGTAACTGTTCCAACTTCATGGCCAATCAGACAAGTCAAGGTAGAACTTGCAATACCACAACCACCGATTTCAGAACTTCAGAACTTGCAGCTGGCAATCGTGTGTGCCTTTTAGCCTTCTTGAAGCATGGCAGACAGGCGCTTTTCGAGGTGGGTAAATTTGGAGTAAAACCCACAGATTTCACCCAAACAAAGCCCTCTTGTGTCTGCCTCAAACAGGCAGATGGAAGCCACTGGCTAGCCACTACCATTTGCCACTAACACCCGTATCACTCCTAACCACAGCCTCTTAGCTTAGACACAGCTAGCCATACATACTAATGTAATTAGTATAGCCTAGCCCTACCATGCCTAAATAGTTCCCCGCAACTAAAGCATGTGTTGATTTCATGTTCTCTGACATTTGTGTCACTTAAATTTGTCACTGGCTGTCCTGCTTGACAGGTTAAAGGGTGTACTTGCCTCAGATATCACTTTCCATCTAATT